ACCTTGTTGTCTCGGATTCTCCAGCATCTGCAGTTCCTACTATCTCTCTCAATGGACTGAATGGTCTTTTGCTGCTGCTACAACCTGTGATCTTATGACTGCTGTCCAGCTGAGATTGGTGAACTTGGTGCAGACCTAGACCCTTTGTTTTTTAACTAGCTGCTGTACTCTGGGAGCTGTGCTATTCCACCTTTTTGAGGAGATGTGTGAAGTATAGCAACCTATAATTTACACATTTCAAATCCCCATTCACCAAGGTTTATCTCAATGCAATCAGAGATGGTCAATAACTGCTGGCCTCATCAATGATGTACCCTCTGTGAAAGTATTGCAAATAAATACAGAAGGAAAACTATTATCCCATAGATGTTTCCCTTCTTTCCACCTGGAGGTTTTATTTCCTTTACTCATAATCATTTCTGTTGTAGATTTAGTGAAAATGCATGGGCAGTACCTCCAATTTTAAAAGTCTTCTTTCAAAGCAGCTGTGCTTGTGCAGTTTTTCTCATTTGTAATTTCTGCACAGTCTTCTTTTTTGTTACTTTTAGTTTAGCTATTTACACAATCAGTGGTCAGACAAAACCAAACCTCCAGACACTAATATTGGAAAAGTCCATAAACTGTTATTCTTTGCTTCCGCACAGCTTTTCAATATATTGTTGGAAATGCATGAATACTTCATGCTATTCTAATTTCGTGATTAGTAATATCCCCAAAATATAGGAAATGGAAGAGCAATGAGCTTTCCTGCATTTGGTGATGCTTTCAGCTCTGTTCAGAAAGTTTTGCATCCTAAGACAGCCATACCAATGTAATTTTAATTGGCACTTATTCTAGCTAAATACTCAATAGCCGGAGGCACTGACCTTTAATTGAGCTGGTAGCTTGAGATGGGTGCTGTCTGATTGTATTGACTTGAAAAATCCTGTATACACTTGAAGCAGGGTTGTTGATTACAGTTAACTATCAGAAGAGATTGAGTTGGTTTATTTCCTGCTCCACCTTCCCTAAGCCAGGTGCATTTTACAGAAGAGGCAGATCCCAGAAGAAGCAGTGCTCATCCTTCAGCTACCACCATTAAGAGGGAAATGAAGATTACTTTTCTTCTGTGATGGGCTGTGGGTATCGCTGACAAGGCCAGCATGTTAATCATCCCTAATTATCCTTGAATTGAGTGGTTTGCTTGGTCATTTCAGAGGGCATTTAAGAATCAGTTGCATGGCTGTGGGTCACATGTATGCCAGACTGGGTAAAGAAGGCAGATTTCTTTCCCTTAAGGATGTTTGTGTTTTGGGTGAGTTTTTACAAGAGTTGGTGATACTTCATGGTCATCATGACTGAGGCAAGCATTGTATTCCAGATTGAATTGAATTTAGATTCCACCGATTGTCATGGTGTGGTTTGAACCCATCTACCCAAAGAATTATCCTGGGCCTCTGGATTACTAGTCCAGTGATGTTATTTCTGTCTCACTCCTGCTTAACAAAACTGGTCACAAACATTCTTCCCTCTGAAGACCAATCAATGGAGAAATGAGCTTAATCCTCATGTTTTTGTTCTGTTGGCAGCTATTGCACCCAAATCGCTGAAGAATCCATGGGGCAATGAAGATGATGCTAGTACAACCACCAAACCTGAAGAGTCATGGCCTGCCTTGGCTGACAGGACTTTGGTTGTGATGGTGGAACAACTATTCTCTCACCTGATGAAAGTCATCAATATCTGTGCACATGTCATCGATGATGTTGCACCTGGTCCTGTGTTGAAGGTATGTGTATTTTTTAAATCTGTATTAAATCAAAAGAGGATCAATATTAGAAAGTGACCTGAATTAAACACTTGAATACATTATTCCATGCAATGGTAACATGCAATAGGTGTAGCATGAGTTAGAGCAGTGTGAGTACCTGTGTATATTTGGTGTTGTTTAGATATAAAGTACAGTGCGTATGGGCACTAAAACAAAGGATGTGCAGATTGCATGATACATTGGAGTTGAAGGAAGACCATGATCTTAGTGAATGGCAGAGAAGCCTCAATGGGCTGTATTGCCAACTCCCATCCCTGTTTCTTACATTATTCTGTAGTTTCCTCTCTGCACCCTCCTATTCACCTGACTTGTTTTTGCTCGTCCTTCTGAAGACAATGACTCCTTGCTTGTTTACGCACCTATAGGCATCTGCTCCCTCATCTAAGAGGCCGCTAGTCATCTGTGAGCCTGAATGATGAGAGTCAAGGGTTCATTTGCCGCTTTAGTCATCTCTGGACTGTGCACGTGGCTGCTTCGTGCAAGTGTTTCTGTGGTGTAATCTGAAACAAAAGCCCTAATCATCGCTTCGTGTACTTAGGGGAGGTGAAATCACTTTTATTCATCCATGCTGAAATTGGAGCTCAGTCCAAGCAAGAGTTTAAATCTGAAACACCCCTCACTCTCTTCTTCCTCAGCCCCTGCCCTGTATGGTACACTCTCTTTGGATTAACCATCATAGAATCATTGGCCCATACAGTACAGAAGGTGACCATTTGGCCCACTGTGCGAATGCTGGCACTTCATAAGAGCTATTCAACTCATTCTGTATCCTACCGTATTTCTCCCCTATCCTTTATGTAATTTGCTCATTATCCAGAAATATTTATTTTTGAAATATATATCTAATTCTCTTTTATAATATTATTTAGAAACTACTTCTACAGCACTTAATGCAACATATATTTGATCATAACATGCTGCATTAAACCTGGATTATCTGAGCTTGACTGCATGATTTCACAATTAGGTTCACTGTGAAGCCATTACACAACTGGATAGCTCATGTGAACATTTGGGTTACAAGATATTACAAATATTGAAGGTCATTCTGTGTTTTAAAATTTGGGCAGGAAAACAAGTTTTGGATTACTGAAACTAATAATTGTGTATAATCTTGTAGTAATTGTGATTAACTTTGTGGGGAAAAGTGCACTGTTAATTCATAAAATGCAGTTTATCTCACAACTTAAATATTGAAGCAGTGGCCCAAAATTCAATGTGCTTTACTTTTCAGGCAACTCTCCCTTCACTTGCCAATACGCCGTCCCTCAGCCCAATCAGACGCAAGGGAAAGGAGAAGGAATCAGTAGAGCAGGCAACTGCACCAATGAGTCCAAAGAAAATTACTGAATCCAACCCAGGTGAGAAAAGATGAACGTCTCAAGCAGTTCGGCTATGGCTCTCGGGATCAAAGTTTTACGAAGGGCAGAGCTTGCATTTTTCTTTAATTCATGGAATGTGTTTGTCACTGGCAAGGTCAGCATTAATTGCCCATCCCTGAGTGCCTTTGAGATTGAGTGTCTTGCTGGGTAATTTTCGAGAGCAGCTGTGATTCAATGACATTGCTGTGGGTCAGCCAGACCAAGTAAATAACGGCAGATTCCCGTCCCTAACTTAATAAACCAATGGATTTTTATGATAGCTGCAGCCAGTCACCGTTACTGAGGTTAGATTTTTAATTCCAGATTTATTAATTGAATTTAAATTCCACACCTACCATGGTGAAATTTGAGCCCATGTCCCAGAACACTAGCCTTGGCCACTGAAATGTTAGTCAAGGGGCATGAGAGCTATGTCACCACTATCTTCTAACACCTTTCACAAGTTTAGGATACTCCAAAGCACTTTACAGGTGATGAAATGTTTTGTTTGAAGTGCAGTTATTTGTGTAATGTAGGAAAATGTAGCAGTTAATCTGTACGCATTAAAGCCCCACAAACAAGAATATGTTGACTAGATCGTCTTTCTTCATGGAAGTGTGTGTGTTCCAGTTTTCTAGCAATCTGCAGCATTTTGCTTTCATTTTAGTGCTATACATTTGCCATGATCTGTAAGATTTATTCATTTTCTACAATTCACTGTGAGGAATTCATGGATGAAGAAGGGAGAATTACTTTTGATTATCAATTTAATGAAAACGTACTTGCGGCAGCTTTGGTTGGAGTGTGTGTCAAACAAATGCACGAGGTCTTGAGTGATGTATGCTGCAGGGAGACACCTGTTGCTGCCTCATCCTTCAGGGGAAGACAAGAATAGGAAAGGTTTCTCAGGTTATTTGGAGTTGAAAGCTTCAATTTGATTATGCAGACTGGGGCTTTGTTTTTAAATTCCTAGCAAAGCAACTCCAGGTCTAATACATGTTTTATACAGTTGTGCAATAGAGTGGATGAGAAGAAACTGTTAGTCCTTGTGCCCGAGTGCAGGATGAAGGGACGTAAGCACAGTAGCTATGAATGGATCAAATATAGCAAACTGGACATCTCTTTACAAAATGTGGTGAGAATGTGGAGCTCACTGCCATGTATATTTCATGGTATAGACTACTTTAGAAATTTTTGGACAGATTTGATATCCAAACAAGGAAACATGGAGACACGATTGGAACAGGCACCTAGAGTGAGGGCAGACTTGAATGAAGTAGGTTTCTTCTGGAGAACAGGTCCTGGGGCACCCTGAATTGGTAGCTGTAGCCATATTTGTATCCACAAGAGAGAATGAAACCATCATCCCAGATGTTCAATGCCATTGTCATTGCTGAGTGTCCCATGATCAACATCCTGGGGGTTACCAATGACCAGAATCTAAACTGCATTATCGATATAAATATTGTGACTACAAGGTGGAAGTCAGAGGCATGCACTTTTCTGGTGAGTAATTTGCCTCCAGTCTCTCCAATTTCTGTCCACCCTCAGCAAGTCACAATCCAGGAGTGTAATGGAATACTCTCCTCTTTGCCTGGATGTGTGCAGCTGCAACAGCAGTCAAGAAGCTTAACATCATCCAGGACACAGTATACCACTTGATTGGACCTCTATCCACCACTTCACGCATTCACTTCCTTCATTACTGATACACAATGGTAATAGTGTATGCTATCTACAAGATGCAATGCAGTAACTCACCCAAACTCCATCAATAGCATCTTCGAAACCTGCGACCTCCAACTACAGAAGAGGGCAGTGGATGTATGTGGACACCACAAGCTGCAGGTTCCACTCCAAACCGCACATCTTGACCATGACCATTCCTTTGCAGTCGCTTGGTCACAGTCCTGGAAGTCTCTTTCTGATAGTATTGTGGGTTTCTGTGAACCCCTGGGACTGTAGCGGTTCCAGAATACAGCTCATGACCACCTCTTCTAGATCATTGGAGATGTCAATTTATGCTGTCTGAGCTAGTGACGCCTGCATTCCATGAGTAAACATAAAAAAGCAGTCTTTAAAGCAAAAGTGTCCTCTGCGGTTTGGTTCTCCTGCTTTAGATACGAGAAGGACTTTTTAAAATGTTTACTCAGTGTTTATCCGTGTGTTATTTATTCTGTTTGCAGCTGCCAGGCCTGCGGATGCTGTTGGAGCTGCACCAGCAAGCAAGTCTACCTCGCTTGGCAGTTTTTACCACCTGCCTCCATATCTGAAGTTGCATGATGTCTTGAAGGCAACGTATGCAAATTACAAGGTACCAGCACAAAAGTACTGTTATACCGCCACAGCTCCCACGCCCAATGTAATTTCACACAACCAGTAATTTAATGTTGGAGAAGGTGCCACTGGTCTGTGTCTCTATTGTGGGTATGATTGGTATCTTTATTTTTATAAAAGTCAAGTACACTGGATGCTGGAAATCTGAAATAAAAACAAAGTGCTGGGGAAACTCAGATGTAGCATCTGCAGAGAGTGAAACAACAATATTATTGTTTCATGTCCAACATGAATCTTATTTGGAATGGAATTAAATTGTTTATATGGGTTTTAAATGTCAAAAGCAAAAACATGGGTTGCAGTGATTGACTTCCTCAAACAACAATTTGATATTGTGGAAAATCTATGCTATGGTTCTCAAGCCTCAGGTACAGAGAATCAGGATGGTATAAGAACAGTTGGAAAAGTCTCTGAATTGTTCTTTTGTGATCAGATCAGGCTGAAGTGATTTATAGGAAATAACCGAAGGAAGATATTTGGCCTGTTGTGACTATGTCAGGTGTGTATATAAGACAAGCTCCTACTCCCTTGACTTTTCCGTATGTTCCTTTAGCAGGTGGGTTAATAATTGTAGATCATAAGAGAGTTAAAATCATTGGTGAAAGACTTGGAGTTACCAGGATTTGCAATGTCTATTTGAAAGCTGATTCCATAGATCATTCTAGAAGTGGTGTTAAATACATGTTTAGGAATAACTGACCTAATTTAAGAAAATAGGTGACAGCTATTCTTTGGTTCATTTCTCAGGGCAATGCCTTGACCAATCAGAGTCAACATACCAAGTTTAAATTTAAACTAAGACTGGCAGTTAACTGTCGTTCTTACTGGAGTATTCTCTATGGCAGTACCTCTACCAATCAGCAGTCTTGTCATACAGTATAAAAGCGGTACATTGGTACTCTTGCAAATGCCCTGCGAAGTACAAGTCAAAAACTGACAGACTGTCAATTTTTCCCAGTTAAACGCCAATATAAGTAATTACAAGATTACGAAGAGTGGGCTGGTAGTAATTTTGCAAGAGGAAAACGTTGTGTTTTACCATTTATTGGAGAGTTTTGAAAGAGGAGCATGCGCTGTGAACAAGTTGGGGGGACTGTCTTGTAGATGTTCATTTCATTGATTTTCATAGGTCATTTGACAAGGTTCCACGTAAAAGGTTACAGCGTAAAGTTGAAGCTCATGATGTAAGATTAACGTAATAGCATGCTTATAAGGTTGGTGGCTGAAAGAAACCAAAGTATGCCTAAGTAGGTAATTTCCTCATTGGCTGGATGTCACCTGTTTAATTTTTATGATGATGACCTAGATGAGGGTAGCAAAGGGATGGTAGCCAAATTTTCAGGCAAGACAAAGCTAAGTAGGAAAGTAAACAGGAAGGCAGATCATTATTTGAATAGAAATTGATGGGGAAGTGGAAGGCACAATGAGAGCTGGCTGTCCTTTTACACCACAATAAAAACGGAAGTTACTGGAAAAGCTCAGCAAGTCTGGCAGCATCTGTGAAGAAAAAGTCAGAGCTAACAGTTCGGGTCCGGACCTGAAACGTTAACTCCGATTTTTTTTTTCTTCACACATACTGCTGATGCTTCAGAAGAATTTCTGAAGAAGGGTCCCGACCTGAAACGTCAGCTTTCCTGCTCCTCTGATGCTGTCTGACCTGCTGTGTTATCTCTGACTCCAGCATCGGCAGTTCTCACTATCTCTGGAGAATAATGTGAAGCTGTTCACTTTGGCTGGAAGAATAAAAAGCAGAGTATTACTTAGCTGAGAATTATTGCAGAAATCTAAACTGCAGAGGGACCTAGTTGTCCTAATATAATTGTTTGTATGCAGGCACTGCATGGAATTAAGAAGTCTAATGGTATGCTATCCTTTAATACAAGACAATTAAAAATAGAAGTAAGAATGTTGAATTTCGGTTATACAGGGCATTGATGAGACCACATCTCAAATACTGTATGCAGATTTGGTTGCCTTAATTAAGGATTAATATAAATGTGTTGGAGGTGGTTCAGAGGAGATTTATTAGATTGATACCTCAAATGAGTGAGCTGCCTTACAAAGAAGGATTGGACAGCCTGGGCTTGTTTCCACTGGACCTTTATAGAATGAGGAGAGACCGGATTAAAGTGTATTAGATCCTGAATGGTCTTGACAAGGTGGACGTGGAAAGGATTATTTCTCTCGTTGCTGAGTCCAAAACTAGGCAGCACTGTTTAAAAAAAGTTGTAGGTTGCCTTTTTATGTCAGATGAGAAATTTTTTTTGATTTATACAGCTTCAGAGTTCTATTTGAGAAGATGGTACAGGTGTGGACATTGAATAACTTCAAGTCAGAGGTAGGCCGACACTCGTTCGGCAAAGAAGTCAATTTATTGGGAAAAGATGGGAATGTGGAATTCGAAATACAAATAACCCTGGTTTAATTGAACATTAGAGCAGATATGACAGCCAAACTGAAACACTTGAAAATTTACTGGCAGCAGCCCAGCTTGCCCCTATAATTATTGACGCACTCCTCCGAATGTCCGACCAACGCTGATGCTCTTCAGGGACCTGCTGACTTCACATTCACAAATATCATGCTGTTACTCAAAAGGAAATAAGACTTATTGAACAGAAACTAGCAACAGAAATAACGTGCGAGCATCAAAGAAATGCTGAAAGAGCTTAGTCGATGAATACTAATCCGCTGTGAATACTTCAGTGTCCAAGGACTTCAGTTTGAAAGAAGCTATCCTTTAGCAAGCAAGACTGGCAGGACTTTTTGTTTATTTTAAGTATACAGTTGAAGCTGCATGTGCAGCTTCCAGTCTTATCCCAGGGATGCTGTTTTATACTTCCGTCATCTTACAAAAAATTTGAGCTCTGTGAATAAGAACTAGGGGCAGGAGTAGGCCATCTGGCCCCTCGAGCCTGCCCCGCCATTTAATAAGATCATGGCTGATCTTTTTGAGACTCCGCTCCACTTACCCACCCACTCACCATAACCCTTGATTTCTTTACTGTTCAAAAATTTATAGTCTTGCCTTAAAAACGTTCAGTGAGGTAGCTTCAACCGCTTCACTGGGCAGGATCGTGTTTAGATTTAACAAATAGTGAGCAGCAGTTGATGTATAGGGTAGTACTCTAGCCATTTCACCCTGAAAGCTGTCTTGAAATCCACCCCGCACTGAGAATATAAATCCCACTGTCCACCGGCTCTAAGAGTTGTGTGTGAAACTAACTGGTAAATTACTTTAAATCCTCTGGTTACTGACCCTAACTCAAAATATTTTTCCTTATCTTCTATAACAAAATTTCTCATTTTGCAGTTCAATTATGTATTCTATATTAAATGTTTTCCTTCTGTTTCAGGTTACTCTGGATCTTCAGAACAATAATGAAAAGTTTGGCAGTTTCTTGCGAGGAGCTTTGGATGTTTTATCTCAGCTTCTTGAGATTGCAACATTGCCGGACATTGGGAAGGTAAATTGGTTTTCTGTAGACAAGTTGTGTTAAATCTGCAGTGAACCTTGGTTATAGCATGGACTGACTTCATGTTGCCTGATCTCTGTATTACAAAAGTGTATAGAGACAGTGAAAAGAGAGCAGCAAAGATTTCCAAGAATGGAATTAGAAGCAGCAACAAGGTAGAATGGCCATCTAACTCTAAGTCCTACGTACAGCTGATTGCTTTTACTTATCAGGATTGATTGAACAATTTGAAGTTATCTTTTTTCCCTCTTTAATAAGAGAAAGCTGGGGAGTGACCAATTAGAGCTCTTTAAAATTATAATGGGGTTTGATAGGTTTGACTTAAAGAAAATGTTTCCACTTGTGTGGAGATCAAAACTGTGAAATAGATATATAATAGTCACGAAGAGTTCCAATAAGAAACCAGGAGGAGCTTTATTTCCCCCAGTGATAACGTGGTGCTCACTACCACATGGAATGTTTGAGGTGATGAGCAATGATGCATACCAGCCTACAAATTAGGAGCAGGAATAGGCCATTCAGCTCCTTGAACCTACTCCACTGTTCAATAAGAAAATTGTTTATCTGATTATTTGCGTTCTCATCCACGTCCGATAAACTTTATCCTGCCTTGTTTATCAAGACCTTAACTACCTCTGACTTAAAATGTTTCAGACTCTGCTTCCACCACCTTTTGAGGAAGGGAGTTCCAAAGACCCGCAACTGTCTGTGAGGGGGGAGAAAACTCATCACTGTCTTAAATGGGTGCACTTCTAATTTTTTTAAAAATAATAATCTTAGTTCTTGTATTTCTCACAAAAGGAAACATCCTTTCCATATACACTCTGTCAACCTTTACTCATTTGACCTTTCCAGGTATTAATCCAATAGACTGTCTTTGAGCTGCTTCCAATGAATTCATTTCCTTCCTTAAGTAAGGAAACAAGTACAGTGCTCAGATGTGGTCTCCCCAATTCCATGTATAACTGAAACATACTTTCATATTTAGTTTCTCGTGCTATAAAATTTAACTTTCCTAGCAGCATGCTATATCATCATCTTAGCTTTTTCTGGTTCTGGTCACCACACCACCAGAAGGATGTGGACGCTTTGGAGATGGTACAGAAAAGGTTTACCAGGATGTTGGGGGAGTTTACCTATGAAGAAAAATTGGATAGACTGGGTTTGTTTTCGCTGGAACGCAGGAGGTTGAGGGATATCCTGATAGAAGTTTATAAGATTGTGAGTGGCATGCATAAAGTGGAAAGCGAGGCTTTTTCCCAGGATGGTGGGGTCAATTACTAGTGGACACAGGTTCAAGGTGCAAGCAGGGGGAAGAGTTTAAAAGAGGGATGGACGAGACCGGTTTTTCCACAGAAAAGTGCCTGGAACGCGCTGCCAGAGGTGGTGATGGAAGCAGACACAATAGCCGCATTGAAGAACCACCTGGGGCCTGGCTCCACACTCCACCCGTCTTCACCTCAAAGATCATGATGCTGAGAGATCGCTTCAGACCGCCACACCGGGCTGAGGATGCCACACGGGGAGGCCGCTGTGGGAGGCTGGAGATCGCCACGCCACACAGGGAGGCTGCTGAGACGGACCAGGAGTCAGTGCTCGCTGGAGGACAGGAATAGTTGCTCGCCAGAGCTTAATCATGTTCCCACTCAGTCTCCTACTCCATGGAGGACAACCACAGTCTATCCAATTGGTCTTCATAACAAACTCTCCCGCCTAGGCTACATCCTGGTAAATCTCCTCTGCACCCTCTCCAGTGCAATCATATCCCTCCTATAATGCGGATTCCAGAACTGCACACATTAGTCTAGCTGTGACTTAACCAACATTTTATACAGGTTCAGCATCACTTACATGCTGTTAAACTCTCCGTCTCGACTGACAAAAATAAGTATTCCACATGCCTTCTTGACCACTTTATCTACCTGTCCAGCTAGCTAAAGGGACCAGTGGACATGCACACCAAGTCCCTCCGATCCTCAGTACTTCCATGGGTCCTACTCTTGCCCAAGTGCATCACCTCACACTTATTCAGAATGAATTCTGTTTACTACATATCAGTCCATCTGACTAGCCCGTCGATATCCTCCTGTAATCTGAGGCTATCACCCTCACTACTTCCTACTCCACCAATTTCTGTATTAGACTCTCTTGCAGAGCCTGCTATGTACTGGCCTAAACGCGCTCCTGGATGCATTTCAAGAATTCTGGAATACTGAACTACTCAATCTGCTCCTCTCTCAATCATGTCTCAGCAGCAACTATGATATCTTACCCCATATTTTAATTTCCACCCTCAACACATATTTACCTGGTTCATCAGATTCCAAATATCATCCAAACTTGCCAAACTCCCTTATGCCTTAATTGACCTATAATTTCTATGTCTTCCTGGCTCACTCTAATTTTGGTCATTTTCCGGTGGGCAAGATGTGACAAGCAGTACGTCACAGAGATCAATGTCCAGTGCTAAATTTTTAGAATTTGCAAAAGTGGATTGCATGAAGGGATGCAAGGTATGATTGCCAAATTTGCTGATGACACAGAGAGAGGTAGAAAAGTATGTTGTGGAGGAGGACATGGAGATTCCAAAAAGATGTAGACAGGTTAAGTAATTGGGTAAACATCTGGTAAATAGAGTATAATATGAAATAAAAAAGTGGAATTGTCCAATTTGGCAAAAATAAAAATGAAGCATGTTATCTACACGGTGAGAGATTGCTCAGCTCAAGGATGCAGATGAATCTGGGAGTCCAAGCACAGTACTGCAAAAAGAACAAAGAACCAAAGAACAACAGCACAGAACAGGCTGTTCGGCCCTCCCAAGCCTGTGCTGGCACATTTTGCCCTTCCATACTAAAACAGTGGGATCCATTTCCCTCTATTTCCTTCCTAATTACATATTAAGATGGTTCTTCAATGCTGCTATTGTGTCTGTTGTTCTGAACTTTTATTTCCAAAGTGCTGGACATTTTCTTTTTGTATTGTCTCAGATCTTGTCTATAGAAGCTGTACCTACATACCTTTTGCATCTAAGTTGGTGCTGTGAGTGGTGACATATAAACTTTTCACTATATTCATTGCGTATGTGTGACAATAACAGCTAATGCTAATTCTGTATAAAATATGAAGAGCATTAGATAGGCTTAACAGGAAGGAACTTTTTCCCATGGTGATAAATAGGTAAAGCCTCACCAGACTATAGGGCTGCATGCGGTCACCTCATCCCAGGCGAGAGATGCGACTGGGGAGGAGAATCCTTCACTGTAACGCGTGCGTTCGGGAATTGAACCCACAGTGCTGGCGTTGCTCTGCATCGCACACCAGCTGTCCAGCCAAGACAACAGAATTGATCCCCTCCCTTGGTAGAGGGAAAATGACCAGTGAACATAGATTTATCTGGAACTCATTGTCTGTCAAGGTGGTAGACACAGAAACCCTCGTAACATTTAAGAACTGCTTAAATCAGAGAGCCACATGAACAAACACATTAGAGGGATGCAGGTCATATGCAGGCAAATGGGATTAGTTTAGAATGGCATCATGGTCAGCACCAATGTGGTGTGCTGAAGGGCCTGTTCCTAAGCTGTACTATTCCATGTGATGCCAAAGTATTCAAGGCTATAGGATTAAAATAAAGTGTTGTTTTTGGCCAGTGTAGGACTCTGTGACACGTTTATGCCTACTCTGGTTAGCTAACATTGTTGAGTACCATTGTTGTCTTCTTTTGTGCCATTGTTAACCTCTACATTAGAAACTCCTATTTTAAACAATTACCTTTGCTATGACACATGGAGATCTAAATTCAGTACTTCCACCAATTTCTCCTTAAATGCACTTAAGGGGAAGTCTGGAAAACACATGAGAGAGAATGTTCTGCTAATAGTTTGAAATGAGGGTGGGTGGGACTTTTCATGCTTTCTTTTCTGTATACACTCCTTAGCTTAAGACAGAAGGTTACATCTTGATCGTCTGCTTATTTGTCAACAGTGGCTGCTGATTAGGTTTGATATACACTGATGTCATTTCACTGCAACTTCAATGCGCACAAGTTTCAAAGGCTAATTGCCTTGAGTTTACCCATACTGTAATGCCATTTAAACAAAAGATCTTTCCTTGCGTTGAATCAGCCTTTCCATCATATTTTTGACATAATGTAACTTGTGTAGAACTTTAGGATTCATCTGAGCTTATCCATTATGCTTTGCAGTTGTGTTGTATACCAAATGCAGGTTTAACTGATGCCCTTAAGGATGTGACAGCTGCCTCAATAAAATGAACTCCGTCTCATGTGTGTTTTCAACATTCACCAATCTGCAGTCACTGTAACTGATCTAATACCTAACGTTGTTTCAAATCCTATTGCAGTGTGTGGAAGAGATCCTTGGCTATCTGAAGTCCTGTTTCTGCAGGGAACCCATGGCAGCCACTATCTGTGTACAGCAGGTAAACCAGTTTCTGAATACCTGCCCTTGTATGAATTGCACAGTATGTCTATGTGGCAGGAAATTTCTTTCACTGGCTGAGTTCTGGTTTGTGTTTTTATTTCCTCCTCTTTTATATCGATGCTGTTGTCACCTCGAAAGTTGGATGATGCAACCCAAAACGCTATTCTACCTGGTCTCTTTCCCCTGTAGTCCAGTATAACACTGATTCAAATATTTATGTTATTTTGAAAGATGAAATGTTTTCTACCTCACCCACTCTTTTCCCAAACATATTAGATGTGTTTCCATGATTAGGCAGCAATTACTGCATAATCCCAATTGTGCTAAGAATTGCTCAAACAACTAGTTTCACATCAGTCTATCTTCAAATATATCTGATTTGCAGTCTTGAGAAGCTACATATATTCATTTGCAGAGCTCTGCCTTTGCAGGCAAAAGGGATATGTCCAGACATTGCACCTGTTTTGAACAAAGAATCATGGGGAACAGTAGTTTCTTGGTGCTTTGGCCATGACAACACCTTGACCAATCAAAACCAACCTGCCAAAATTCAGTGCTCCTTTTCTCACGCAATGTGAATTATTGTCACCTTTGATATTTATCATTCTTGTACCTATCCTTGTAAGTGCAAGATGAAAAACTTTGACAGAATGCCTCTCTCTTTGAGTAATACTCAGATTTATTTAAATTAAAACTAGAGATGGGTAATAAATGCTGGCCCAGCCTGCAACGCCCACATCTGTGAATGAATAAATGACGTGTGTACTCTTGCACCAGTGACCAACGGGCCTTGAATAAAACACCAGACCTCGGTATTAAAATGAAGGCAGTTTTGAACCTTAAATAATCAAATTCTGCTCTCTCTCTGTCCCTATACCAAATGTGTGTTTTTTTTTCCTCCTTGTTCTCCCCATTTGCTCATCGTTTTTTTGCCTTTTTTTTTGTGGTTCTTACTTGTGTGTGTTTAATACTTAAATCTTTGAACTCCAGTTATTGAAGACGCTGTTTGGAACAAATCTAGCATCGCAATATGATGGCTCCTCTTCCAATCCCAGCAAATCCCAAGGAAAAGTGCAGCGCTTGGGCTCTTCCAATTTGAGGCCAGGTCTATACCACTACTGTTTCATGGCACCCTATACGCACTTCACCCAAGCACTAGCTGACGCCAGTCTGAGGAACATGGTTCAAGCAGAACCTGAGCAGGACACATCTGGGTGAGGCATCATGTTGACTATACAACAAAGTTACACAAAACTTGTACAGAGGTTTAGTCAGTCTACGTTTGGGAGTTACTGTGTGCTGTTCTGTTTTCCACATTACAAAAAAAGCATATTTAGAGGTATGGTGGAATGCAATAAAAGATTAACAAGAATGTGGGAAGACCTAGTGGGTTATTTATCATAAAATGCATTATTTCATGAGCAGTAACTGATGAGACCAGTATTTCTTGCCCCTTACCTGTCTCCTTGTGTACAGGTACTTATACAACTATTGAGTTGGGAGCTTCAGGACTTTGACCCAGCTGCAAGGTAGTAGTTGACGAGGCTGGGTGTACATTTTGTTCCGTTGAAAGCGGGTATCAATCAGAAAGGCTGAATAGTCTGTAGCTTCTATCACTAGATAGGAGTTGCCTCAGCTGTACAGTTTTAGTTATGAAGAGAAATTGGATAGATTGGGGTTGATTTCCTTGGAGCAGAGGAGTCTAAGGGAGAACATTATTGAGATTATTAAATTATGAGGGGCATAGATGGAATAAACTCTTCCTCTTGGTGGAGGGATCAGACATCGGGAGCATAGATTTAAGGTAAGGGGTGGGAAGTATACAGGGTATGTGAGGAGATAGTAGGAACTGCAGATGCTGGAGAATCCGAGACAACAAGGTGCAGGGCTGGATGAACACAGCAGGCCAAGCAGCATCATAGGAGCAGAGAGGCTGACGTTTCGGGCCTAGACCCTTCATCAGAAAAGGGGG